GGTATCTACTGCAGTATTTCGAGTTTGCACATGTATTTAATTGTGCAGCTGTTTTGTTCTGTATGTCTCCGAGTCTGTTTCCTAATGTTTTTCTGATTTTATCACTTTTTATCTGCTTTTACTGAACTTTTACGAAATTGCAGATCAGTTGAGGGGACTTTTGTCACAGATACTCGTATTCCGGTAGAACAGAAAGAAAAGCGATTACGTTGTCAGTACTGTAAATATGTTGGACATTCAAAAGACGACTGTAGGAAACTTCGCGCCAAGACAAATGGTAGGGAATTGGAGCTAAAGGTTGCCGCAGAGCCTGTTTCGCAGACCCAAGTTTTGTCTGCATCTGCCTCTACACCAATAGTTGGTTTATCAACGTCACACCAATCATCAGAACTCAGTAAGGTAGCTCCATCTGTACAGTGTTATGGATGTGGAAAACCGGGGTACATTCGATCTAAATGCCCTACATGTAATAGTACAGCAACAGCATCGATGGAATTTCTTAGTTTTGAACCTTTAATAGCACCAAGACCACGACCCATTTTAGAAATTGGTATACTAGGATATCGCGGAGTCGGATTAATAGATACGGCCGCTAAGCAGAGTTTTGCTGGCAGTATGCTGTACGAAATTCTCAAAAAAGAGAATCAACATTTTAAGAAGACGACAATATCTGCTAGATTCGCTGATGGAAATGGTACAACAGAAAGTGTTTTGGTCACGGAGAAAGATGTGTTTTTCCATGGACGTCGGGTTAAGACCAAATTCATTATTTTTCCCGAATCTGAAGATACTCGCACACTTCTTGGTGTTGATTTCTTACAAGATGCCAAATTTGATGTCAGCTTAGCCCAGAATACTTGTAAATTTGACGATATACCTGATACTGAGTTTCCACTTACTTATGAGTTACCTCTGTCCTATACGAAACAAGCTTCGAAGGTTTACGTCCTGAGGAAGGGACCATGTTAGGTGAACTAGAGAGGAATATTTTAAATACTTTGCTTCAGGATAATGAAGATATTTTCCGAGAAGGGGGAGACCCGACCCCATATGCGAAACATTACATCAATACAAGGGATCATCCACCCATTGCTTTGCCACCCTACAGAATGACGCCAGCTCGTAAGCAACTACTGAAATCGGAACCTCATAGACTACTTGAGAATGAAATCATCGAAGAGTGTGAAAGTCCATGGGCTGCACCTGTTGTTCTGGTTCCCAAGAGTGATGGAGGTGTACGTCTGTGTGTCGATTACCAACGATTGAATGCGGTTACTGTCAATGATTCGTATCCACTACCTCGAATGGATGACCTTCTCCATGCTGCCAAACGCACCTTTTATATGAGTACTATCGATCTGAGGTCTGCATATCATCAAATTAGTGTTAACGAGGCTGATCGTGATAAAACTGGATTCGTGACTCCATTTGGGACTTCTAGGTACTTGAGAATGCCATTTGGGCTGAAGAATGCACCAAGAACGTTTCAGAGACTTATCGATCATTTCCGTCGTGGGTGTGGTGATATTCTCATCCTAGCCTACTTAGATGATTTAATAATTCTTTCAAGATCATTTGAGGACCATATCCAAGACTTAAAATTAGTGTTTGAGAGACTTAGGCAGTTCAAGCTACGTGCAAAAAGAGAAAAGTGTAAGTTTGCATGTTCTCAGGTAAAATACCTAGGACACTTACTCACCATAGAAGCTATCTCGGTAGACCCTAGCAAGACAGCCGCTATTGCCAATAGACCAGCCCCTCGTACTGTGTCGGAAGTACTGTCATTTCTGCAAACGTTCTGTTGGTATCGCCGCTTTGTAAAAAACTTTTCTGAGATATCCCGTCCCTTGAGTGAACTAACCAAAAAGAATGCTCCCTGGCAGTGAACACAAAAACATCAAGACTCTTTCGACCTTTTAAAACATGCGCTAATAACTGCCCCTGTGCTTCAACAATGTGATGAAACCCAACCATACATTATCCGTACGGATGCAAGTAATTATGCCTTAGGAGCTGTTCTCCTACAAGAGGAAGGTGATACAGAGCACCCCCTTGAGTACGCTAGTCGACTTCTAACTTCTTCCGAACGAAATTAAAGCACTAGTGAACGTGAAGCTTTAGCCGTAGTTTGGGCCTTAGACAAATTTCGTGGATACGTTGAAAGTACTCCAGTTACAATTCAGAGTGATCATCAACCCCTACGATGGTTGTTACACTTAAAGGCGCCAACAGGAAGACTTGCGCGTTGGGCTTTGCAAGTTCAAGGCTATGACTTAAAAATAGACTATTTACCAGGAAAACGAAATGTGGAAGCGGATACCCTATCTCGACCTCCTTGCACCCATGAGGTTAAAGACAGTTGTGATGCTTGTTATGTTGCAATTGAGCTTTCTAAACGCGCTGCTTCCGAGATTAGACAAGAACAACTCAAGGATCCTGATGTCGAAAAGATCATCAAACGCTTCGAAGAACATATTAATAATGATATTGTCAAATGGACGGACCATGGGTATATCATGTCAAATGGAGTCCTCTATCGCTATTCACCAGAAGAAGATGTAGAAGAAGCTCAACTTGTCGTCCCTGTACATGAACGCAAACGTGTTCTGGAAGAGTACCATGACTCTCCCACTGCCTCACATTATGGGGCTGAGAGAATCTTACAGCGTATAGCTAAAAGATATTATTTCCCTGGTATGAGACGGTTTGTAATGGAATATGTAAAGGACTGTCCAGATTGTCAACGTTATAAAGCCGACAACCAGAAACCCGCTGGATTATTGCAGACCCCTGTATATGCCCAGAGATTCGAAACACTATCCATAGATTTGTTTGGACCCTTGCCGAAAGATAAGAATGGAAATGTCTGGATCTTTATCATAGAGGATGTCTCAACTAAGTGGGTTGAACTTTTTCCCCTCCAGAAAGCTACTGCAGAAGAGTGTGCTCGAGTGCTTATAAATGAAGTTTTCTTCCGATATGGATTAACACGCAAGATAATTAGTGTGCAATTCATCTCTGCCATTATGCAAAAAGTTTGTTACACCTTTGGGATCAAAGAATCATTTACTCCGCTATACCATGCTTCGGCAAATATGGTGGAAAGGAAAAACCGTGACCTCAAACCAAGGTTAGCCATACTCGTGGGAGATGACCACACTTCCTGGGCAGATAAGTTGCCTACAATACGGTTTGCTATGAATACCGCTTGGTGTCAATCCACTGGTCAGACAGCTGCTTACCTAAACTTTGGTCGAGAAATGCGCACCTTAGACGATGTAACTCATGATCTGCGACCTATTGTGCAGGCAGAGAATTTTGTCCCTCAAATCACACCCTATCTTCAGATGGTAACTAGTACCTGGCAAGACGCCCGGTCGATTAATGAAAAACAACAATATCGCCAGAAAACTTATTCAGACACTCATAAACGAGATGTTGCTCCTTATGCTCTTGGTGACCGAGTTTGGATAACCACCCACACCCTAAGTAAAACCGATAAAGGAATTACCTCCAAATTTCACCCAAAGCGAGATGGGCCCTACGAAGTAATCCGGATTGTTTCTCCAGTTAGTTACCAAGTGGCGGATCCAGCTGACCCTTTTACTCCCTTGGGAATTTATCATAGCTCGGCTTTAACTCCTGTCCAAGGAAATCCTCCTGAAGAGCCCGTAGTTGCTATCCGACGGAGAGGACGACCACCGAAGAAACACAAAGAACCTGCTTCTGGTTCTTCCTCGGGTCGAGTTCAGAACCATAGGGGGAGAGTGTAGCAAATCACCTAATACCGACCCNGCTTCGGCAAATATGGTGGAAAGGAAAAACCGTGACCTCAAACCAAGGTTAGCCATACTCGTGGGAGATGACCACACTTCCTGGGCAGATAAGTTGCCTACAATACGGTTTGCTATGAATACCGCTTGGTGTCAATCCACTGGTCAGACAGCTGCTTACCTAAACTTTGGTCGAGAAATGCGCACCTTAGACGATGTAACTCATGATCTGCGACCTATTGTGGAGGCAGAGAATTTTGTCCCTCAAATCACACCCTATCTTCAGATGGTAACTAGTACCTGGCAAGACGCCCGGTCGATTAATGAAAAACAACAATATCGCCAGAAAACTTATTCAGACACTCATAAACGAGATGTTGCTCCTTATGCTCTTGGTGACCGAGTTTGGATAACCACCCACACCCTAAGTAAAACCGATAAAGGAATTACCTCCAAATTTCACCCAAAGCGAGATGGGCCCTACGAAGTAATCCGGATTGTTTCTCCAGTTAGTTACCAAGTGGCGAATCCAGCTGACCCTTTTACTCCCTTGGGAATTTATCATAGCTCGGCTTTAACTCCTGTCCAAGGAAATCCTCCTGAAGAGCCCGTAGTTGCTATCCGTCGGAGAGGACGACCACCGAAGAAACACAAAGAACCTGCTTCTGGTTCTTCCTCGGGTCGAGTTCAGAACCATAGGGGGAGAGTGTAGCAAATCACCTAATGCCGACCCTGTCGCCCGTGCCAACCTCGCCTGCAAAAACCACCGCTAGGGGTCCGGCAAGAGAAAAAGCGTTTAGTGCGTCTAGATACCTAAACTATGTGCCATGTGTGTGTGTATTATAAGTTTAGAAAATAAAGGAGTCAACTTATTTCTAGCACCCCGACCTTTTTATTAATCCTGCAGTTTTAATATTTTTGGCTCTAACACCCTGTATTTCAAAGGCGAAACATTTTTCGACGCAAATTCTATTTGATTTTTTTCATTAGAATCTATTTGTGACGTTTGACTGAGGTAAATGAACACACTATATA